AGCCGGGCTGCTTACCAACAAGTGAGGCTGGCTTCCTAGCCTATTTTTGCCCTTCTAAAGCTGCCCCTACACCTAGAGATTATCTGCAGATTTTCTATGGTCAGATGCAAAAAGTGCAACAGATTCCTCCATCTATGCTAAACTGTGTGGATGGAGGAATCTCCCGCTGGGCCAAGCTTCAGTGTCTTGCTAGTCGGCCCCGCTGGCTCTTAAAATACCTGAACAATTTGATTGGAAGCAGGCATTGTTCAGGCGTTTGAGAGCCAGCGGAGCCGACTAGCAAGGCCATATAGGCGTATGGCCAGCATAAGCCTGTTTTACTCACCTTAATTTGCGGTCATGTGACCCTTAATGGCACCTCTTCTGAGACAGAAGACCGGTGATCTACCACTGCAGTCTTGGCCCACCAAGAAAGGGTCTCACCTCTCAACATGACATCATCAAGTACACACCAATGAACCCAATGAGAAGTGTCCATGTCACCAAGTAGTGACATAGGCACCCCAGAAGTACTATCTCATCCTGCACTGCAGAAATCAGCAAGAGTAGGGACATAGCCAATCACCTGACCACAAAAGTCGGGAAGTATTTTGGGCATTAATGCAGTCATTAGCAAGAGGGTGATGGAGGTATTGTTAGCATGTTGGCTTCTGTGCCTGGAATTCAATTTTAAAGTCCATTTAGGCTATGTTCACGCCATGTTCATTGAGCTGTGTTTCTCTGCATACCATTGCACATGTATGGTGTGAACAGAGTACCAGAAAAACAATTGTTCTCTATGTCCCTTCTTCATGCCATTCATGTGTTGTGGTGTGCAGAAAAATGCAGCTCATCGGACACGGTGTTAAAAATTCAGCTGTCCCTAATTCATGCAAAACAGAAAAATGGTCACCAGCACTCTAGGTTTCCTTCAAAACTAAATCCTTTTATTCATTCTCACAGGTCATATCATCATGCGTGGCAACGTTTCGGAACCTGTCCGGTCCCTACATCAGGAGAAAACCTGGAGTGCCGGTGACCATTTTTCTGTTTTGCAAGTATTTGGTGGCGCCATCCGCTGCCACTTCAGCACCCTCCCCACATTGTATGGGGCTTCTCGGTCAAGAGTGCGGTGGGACTCTCTATTTGACTGTCCCTAAATCAGGTGCACTAGCAACCCTCTTTGTAGCCCCTATGACATCATCACTGGGGCTTCAGTGCTCCTTTAGCCACCGGAGCCGGAAGAGGGTAAAGGAGGGTGCTCAGTGTCACTTCTCTCTCCAGGTGATGTGGTCAATCGCAACCAGAGACAGACATGGCCAACGCTAACTGGCCTTGAGGAGCAGTGACAACGCTGAGATCTCCGATGATACCGCACCGAACAGGGTGGCAACACTGCAGCGCAATCAAAAGCAGGGTAATCTATGTTGTCACCCTGTTATTGAAGAACCAAGCACCAGCAAGAACACAGGTATATTGAATGTAAAATGACGTGGCTTATGTCATCATACTGTATATCACAACTACATTTTTACAAAACCTAACATAATTCTACTTAGCATCAATACCATGTATCAAAATGTACTATATGAGAGATACTTCTAGATGCTTATTACAGCAGATTTACATAGTACTAGGTGCAAATGTGAACGTAGTATTATTACAATAATAATCGTTATATAAAACAAAGTGTAGGAAAAAGGAAAATACGTTATTTAAGATGGATCACTGCATGTATATACACACACACAGTGTCAGCTGACCATATATATGAATCAGTGGTGTCCCCATGCACATTATACTGCCATTGCCTTGGCTTGGTTTCTTGCAGTGCACCATTGTAGACACATAAAGCTGTGCTTGCATGTCACCAGTGATGGGCACAGCAATCCTTGGCTGCACTGACAATTGTACTTACAATGTTTCTTGCCATCAATGAGCTTCATTGTTGTATGTATAATGTAGGAGCTCTTCTGTTCAAATGCTTCACTGACAGAATGACGATCCGAAGAGATGTGAGCAGCACCTTCGCATTTCAAGACTGTCTGGTGTGAAATCACTAGGAACAAGGTCACGGGTTTTTTTTCTCCCTTTCCTGCATATAAATTGTGAAACGCCCGGTGAACTGTGCCTTCTCTACATGGTATTTACAATGCAGCCACAAAAGCCATGCTTCCTGCCTCCTGATTGGCTGAGCAGCAGCCCAGCCTCCCATGGTGTCAGTAGGTGTGCTTAGCTTTCGGCTCGTTTCATTGGCTGATCTAGTCTGGCATTTAACACCACATTGATTTTAAGCAGTCTACTGACTGTGTTCTCACCAATCCACCCCCGGCTTGTATGCTGCTGATGGGAAGGCTGGAGAGCCCTATACACAGAGAGGGGGGAGTGCTGGCAGCCTGGCTGCAGAGCTATGTGCTTTGATCCTGGCTGATGCACTATATCCTATGATCCTGGCTGCAGAGCTATGTGCTATGATCCTGGCTGCAGAGCTATGTGCTATGATCCTGGCTGCGGCTCTATGTGCTATGATCCTGGCTGCTGCATTATGAGCTATGATCCTGGCTGCAGAGCTATGTGCTATGATCCTAGCTGGTGCACTATATGCTATGATCCTTGCTGCAGAGCTATGTGCTATGTTCCTGGCTGATGCACTACAGGTGAAACTCGAATAATTAGAATATCGTGCAAAAGTAATTTCTGCAAGTAAGTTCTGCAAAAGGGGCCCAAACCAAGTACTGAGTACATCTGCATGCTTGTACTTTTCAGAGGTCCGATATTGTTCTATGTACAATCCTTGTTTTATTGATTGCATGTAATAATCTACTTTTTTGAGGTTGTGGATTTGGGGTTCTTGGGGTTTTCATGAGCTGTAAGCCATAATCATCACAATTATGACAAATCACGGCTTGAATTATCTTGCTTTGCATGTAATGAGTCCATCTCATATATTAGTTTCACCTTTTAAGTTGCATTAGTGAAATAAATGAACTTTGCACGATATTCTAATTAATCGAGATTCACCTGTATATTGCTGCATTATGTGCCATGATCCTGGCTGCTGCTCTATGTGATATGCTTCTGGCTGCTTACGTTCTATGAGCTACGCTCCCGGCTGCACCTCTATGTGCTACGCTCCCGGCTGCACCTCTATGTGCTACGCTCCCGGCTGCACCTCTATGTGCTACGCTCCCGGCTGCTGAGACATTATGGACCTGTAGTCTTGCCTGTACAGAGGTATCACAGCAGGTGTCGGTATAAATGCATACGTTGTGTGCTCAACATCTGCATAGCTGGCATGCTTTCTTCTACAAAGGGTTCTATAGCCCCCAGCACACACATCTCTAGATCACGTCAGGATGAAAATGAAGGGGCCAATTACATTTGTGCGCCATGATAATGCACGCGTGTTGCAACTTATCGTGCATCCTGCCCATTAAACGCACCAAATATTGGACATGTCACAACATTCTCACAGCAACGCACTATGATACTATTCAAAATGAATGAATGGCACCACAATGCATCAACATATGTAATATACGTTGCCTTAACCTGCTCCTTAACGTGCATGTTCCTGCAGTGCGTAGGTGTAAAGCGGCCCTGGAGTTCAGCCACTGGACAGTGCAGGCCATCTTACCCATTGTCAGAAATGAATGGGCGCTCAGTACACTCTGGGTGCACCTAAACGCCCCCTCTTTCCAGGCAATCCTACACTCCACTTATATGTGGCCAGTAGAACTTTGACCATTTTCCATATCACATAGTGCAATCAAACTTCCTTTACCTGACATGCTCTCCCCATCGCTCATGTTCAGTATAGACGCACTAACATCCCCGTTATGCCATGTGTTAGGCGAGATTCATTTGAACGGTCTGCCTAATGTGGCAAAAAAAAAGGATTCATGTACTGTTTTTTGTAATGCAGCCGACTGCAATGGACATTAGTGCATTGTGGTGCACTGAAATATACATCTGTTGGCAGGGTGTGTTGGGGTGCCATTCAGAATGAATGGTACTGCACTGCACCAACACATATATCATGCATTAGCGGTATTGTGCAGTGCGATGATATAAATGGGCCCCTATTCACATGTCTGCTTCAGATGCATGTTATGTTGCGTGCTAATGTGCGCTGCCTTAGGACGAGTTCACACCTTTGTACTGTGGAAACATGCATGCGAGTGCGCACTGGTGTGCTGCAGTGCTATTCATATCGACAACCCAATGCACCTTGCCAAGGATGTGCATTGCAGTACACCACAATGCATGGTAATACACTACCATACCATTTAAATAAATTATGCATGAACCTGAGACAATACAAGGTAAATTTCTGGTTTATTTCCCCATCCAGGAGTCACAGGTGTTGGAAATCAATGGCTGTACACCGGTATTTGTGAAATCACATGCACGTACAGTGCGCATGTTTACACAACTACTAGCGTATACCCGTGTACAGCCATTGATTTCTATACAGCACCTGTAGCTCCTGGATGGGGAAATACACCCATATTTGACATTGCATGACCCCAGGAACCTGTGTGCATGAGCCCTTAGGCACAACATTTAAATGAATGGGCTGCAACGCAAGTTAACGCACAGCACAACACACTGCAACAATGTGAATCCAATGAATGGCACAGCACCAAACATGGCTTACCCCAATGCAACACTGTGAATCCAATGAATGGCACAGCAACGCACAGCACCAACATGCCTCACCACAATGCAACACTGTGAATCCAATGAATGGCACAGCAACGTACAGCGTCAGCATGCCTTACCTCAATGCAAAACTCTGAATCCAATGAATGGCACAGCACCAACATGGCTTATCACAATGCAACACTGAATGGCACAGCACGAACATGGCTTATCACAATGCAACACTGTGTACCCAGCTAAGATCGTACGATTGCTGCACAATCCACTGTGACAGGATATCAGATTACACAGAAACAATGGCTGCCCCCTAGGTACACAGTGACAGCCCCCCCCCAGCAGTCAGCTGTCACACTTACGGGGTCTGCTCCTCCTGCCCGAATCCATCCTCCTCCTCATCCTGCTCTTCTTGGCCGGGGATCCCTGGTGCAGGCAATCCGGGTGAGCTCGGAGCGGACCATGCTCGCTCGGCACTCGGCTGCTCTCCCCGTTCATCAGCACTGGGGGCTCCGATAGATAGAAGCCATTCTGCAGGCGTGGAGCAGAAGCCGCCTCAGGCTGCGCAGGATCCCCCATAACTAAAACGTGCAAGGGGGGGGCGTCACTGCAAACACAGGCGCCCCAGGATGGAGGGTGACGTCATCGGGGGCCTGGCTGAGGCTGGTCGCTGTCACCGGGACAGCCTGTCAGTTCGCTGCTCGGGAGTTTGTACTGCGCAAGCTCACTACGCATTGTTAGTGGCGGCACTGGCGGGGGCGCGCACGTGAGCGAGCACACTAGAATTGCTGTGATGGAGCTGCTGCAGCCGGCTAAGTGAGCAATCACGTGACTTCTGACACTCCGCCCCTCTGCTAAACCTCTTCATTATTTCTAGAGTCTATAGCAACCTTTGTCAACCATTCTAGCCAGATAACAATCTTCAGTTCTGGGGAACCCCTGCAAAATAATGGCTATTAATCAATAAAGAATGCTGAGGACTTTTAGTCCCCATTCACACCTTCAAGTTCTGTGAATGCTCGCCAAACGCGCGCATTGACGTGCATTCACGGAACATGTCAAAAACATGCAATGCACTTGCAGGGCTGTAATTGCAACGCCTCTACCCCGACTGGATGCGCCGTTAGAGCTAGCTCCATGTGCTGGAACTTACTAGCAGAGGGCTTTTTTTTAGCCCGTGGGGTGTGCTAACGAACACCCAAATTGAACAGAAAAAGTGCAAGTGAAACACACAGCAAAATGCACAAGGGTGTGTCTAACTGGTCCATCTCCCAAAGGGATAGGGTTCTTCCCTGACCCCCAAAGCTCCTGATAAGGGAGAGGAACTCATATCCACCTGGGTGAAACCAGGCGGACCCATTCCTCATGGTCAGCCAAAGCTCACCACCGAGTATTAGGTTGGGGGGCTCTCCTAAAGAGATGCTCCCTGTTTTAGGGGAGGAAGGAACCTAATGGCCACACATCCTCCCCACTGACTTCAGGGTAGGCCTGAAGACCCACACCCTCCATCAGGGTGGTCCTGGCTGGGCTCCCCTGTACCCCATAGCGGCCGCCTGGGTCGCTATTGCAATAGTTCCACCACTGCCCTCCATCCTGTGAGAGTGAAAAATACACACATAAAAAAGTGACAGATGCACGTACAATGGAGAAAAAAAATAAATAAGTGCCATTGTATAAAAATGACCCCTGGATTCAGCCAAAAGGCCTAGCCCAAGAGGCGAGGTGCAGAAAAAAGCAACAGGTGTCGTGGCCAATGTGCCATTTACACTAGTGGGGGTCCCCCGGGCAGCCAGTCCTAGGACAGGCTTGACACCGCAGGCTCTCTGCCTTCCCACCCATGGCCAGACCAGGTAGTCCCGTTCAAATCAGGAGGCACTGGACCCCACCAAATCTCGGACACTAGGGAAGTACTCCTGACCCCCTGGACACTTCTTTTGGTCTCCTTCCCACGACAGGGATCCTTTAGGACCCACCATCATCTCAGGCAGCATTTTATGCAGCCAGTCATCCCTCCCAAAAGGCCAGAAACACAGCACATTTCCCCTCCTGAGCACTGATAAGAACAGACACTACACTTGATCTTAGCCAAAAGGCCCGAGAAGTGAGCAGAGTTGGTTACTTTACCCTAAACATCAAACAGAACCAATGTTAGGGTAAAACAGGAACTCCTTTATTGAACAAACAGCACACATTTTATAGCCCACAGAGTCCTCCACCCCAGGTAAGATTACATTATTTTCAAAAAATTTACATTTCTGAAAATCCATCCAAACCAACTTAAAGGAACAAAAGGGTAACGGGATAAAGGGATTAGCAAGGTGATCACAGCAGTAGATTTTTCAGGGAGGAAGATGTACTTAGCTCAACAGGGAGCCTATTGTAGGAGGGAATTGGTTCAGACCTAGTGGCACCAGCGTGACATGGCACATAAAGTGTCCACCTAAGAGTTCCAAAAGATTGGTAATAAGTCCTGCTGGTCCACATGGGAGTTCCATTGAGAGGTTCAGATGTTTGGTCTGGGACAAAATACAATACTAGCCCCACTGGCAATTTAAAACCTTAATCAAGGCCACGGTCCATAGTCAGTGGGGAGGAGGCTGGCCTTCATTCCCCTCTAAATGACCAGGGTATGGAAACTTCCGTTACAGGTGCCATTACTTGTTAATGGCACCCCAAACGCGGCCAGGATGACGTGTTTTTTCCCACGCATTGAAAAAATGCGGTATGCCTGTAGCAGAATCTGCTACACAAGCTACTTTTCTTTGTTTCTCAAATTGTGCAGGGGGGGTGTACATAGAGGACATTCAATATAAGGGGGGATGCATATAGAAGACATTCAGTATAGGGGGGATGTACCGAGAGGACATTCATTGTATTGGGATCTCTGCAAAGGTGATCCTGCTGGCATCAGCACAGTCCTGGGTTAGTCAGTAAGGTGTGCTCTTCTAATGTCGGAGTGTTTTGTATTTGGTTTAAGGAGGATACAGATCTGGTGAATACTTATATTACAGAAAAATAATAGATGTTCTTTTGACAATACAGAGTTCGGTAACTGGAACATAGTATTATGCTGTGCATTGTAATCATACTGCTATGAAACCTCCCTACTGTGGTGCTTTTCTCAGTGGGGTTCATGTATATAAACCTGAAGAGAAGGAATGTGTTGCAATTGGCAATCAAAGGGGAAAATCTAGTTGCTGATAAACACACTGAGGGTTCGTTCATACTATTATGCTACATAATACCAAGTGTTATTGTGTGTTAATATAGAAACTTGAAAAAGTGACAGCAGAAAAAGACCAAGGCATCCATCGAGTTGGACCCTTCATGCTTTTTTTAATGGTGGCTTATGGATCTAGGTTTGCTTCAAGCATGATTAAAGAAGTATCACCACATATGTAACATCTTTAATGAATCCAAGGGACCAAGCGCATGTAGCATTAGGTCCTGTTCCAGTCCATCCTGTGGTTGCTGCGCAGCATGGTCGGTCAGTTAGCCCACACCAGCTTTCTGACCATACTGAAAGCAAGTAAATGAATAGTGTCAGTGTACTGAATCTACTGAATCTAGTGGGTCAACTTTACAGGCAGACAAGTAACATTTTCAGAAAGAGGTTAGCAATGCTCCCATACTGTATTGAGGTAAAGGGAGAATATGATTGCTGGATGGGTCTAGGGGTAAAGCAAAAAGGTGTAATAATTCCTTGCTTTGGCAGGCTTCCTTCATCTGTGTATATGATAGCCATGCATTGTATGTGAGGACCACGAGGGACCATCCACAGCCTGGAGCATCAGCAAAAAGGACGCGGCGGGCTCCGCTGAGACAGCCAGCAGACTGCGTGTTTAGCACCAGGAAACTAGTGTTTTCAGTAGAGGAGGTCAACGATGGTTACCTTACAACAGGTTCCCATTAAGAAATGTATGTAAATCACAGAATTAAAAATCTTTTGGCAGGCAAAAAAGTACACATACAGTATATTGGGTTTCAACTGCGTATTTAGCTATTTCCGAATGTCCTGCTTAAATTTGTTAGGGGTGGATTATCAGACCCACATACTATGGGTTAGTTCAGACTAACTACCTAGTCCAGACTGCAGAATTTCATGTCAATGTGCAAGTGCAGTCTTAGTGCCCATTCACACTGGGCGTTTAATCGCGCAATTTCTGCCGCGATATCGCGCATATTTGCTGCCCGATATCGCGAGAAGTCGCCGTCCAATGATTTTCAATGGAGCTGTTCTATTGTACTGCCCCATGTCGCTCGTCACTTGTGCAGGACACTTTTCCCCGCAGATGTAACACAATTTTTCTATTTTTGCATGCAGCCCGACGGTGAAGGTTGCGCGATCGTCGCCCGAACAGTCACACTATCCCTTCGCACGGAAATCCGCTCGAGGTAAATGTTGCTTAGTGTGAATGGGGCCTAAACTGGCAGTAGACAGATCAGCCTAGCAGGCACCGAGTGCCATAAGGGAGCAGCTGGAGTGTACAGTATATCAGATCAGTACCAAGGTGACCCTCTGTCTCAGTATATATGAGATGCATTGAGCTAAACAACTCCACACACACCAACACACAACAAGGCATCTGATTTAAGCAGCACTGCACTGAATGCCAGTATCCGCTTTAGTTTGCACTTTTATCACTTTTATACTGTATGGAAGTCCATGTAAGATATCAAGAAAATGGTCAAACCACGTAACAAAAATGATGAAGCTGAAGTAGTTTTTGATGCTCTACAATCCTCCTGTATGTGTGATAGTGGAGTGTGTTTTTGAAGCGCATTCTGGGATTTGTTATTTTTCGTACTGCAGGGGGTGACATCACCATACTGCTGACAAGATCCCAGGTAATGCCGAATAGCCCACATCTTGCAAAAAGACGCTGCAGCAAGTGCAGGATCAACTTCTCACTGAAAGGATGAAGATGTCACCCTAGGGTGCCCTAAATGCCGTGTAGCAGAAGTCAAAACCCCGTGTACAGACTGGCCATAGGTTCCAAGAGGCTCCACTGGGATCAGCTTGAAAGCTAGGGGCTTTGTACATGGGTATTAATCTGCTTCTGAATTGCTTTCCCTATATACAATTCTCATAAGCTTCCTCAGAAGGAAGGTGAATGTAGGTCAAAACAAGTCAGACGTCTATGTTGTCAAATGGATGGTGTCTCCCATCTCAGCTTTGGATCTCGGAAAATTCTTTATTGGCTTCTTGAATGCTTCTCTGACAAATGCCCTTCTAACACATTCAACAAGTTTTGGTACACAACCTTCTCTATGGCCCCATTCACACCTATGCGTATTGTAATATGCGCGTCTGTCGAGCGACCGTCACGCGGTTTTTTTACCGCGATTCGCGGTAAAAAAGTCGCGCGACCGTCGCGCGATTCCAAAGGCTACTTGGCAGTATACAAATGGAAAACGCCCTACAAAACGGACCAATACGCAGCAAAAAACGCTCCGGGACCTTTTCATGCGTGGGCCGTTTTGTAGTGCGTTCGGGACGGGCGGAAATACGGACAGGTGGGAACGATACCATTGACTACAATGCTATTTATTTTTTTTACCGTTTTGTAGAGCGTTCATCGAGCGTAGGACGTGCTACAAAACGGTCAGGTGTGAATGGGGCCTTAATCATGGATTTCATGGTGCTCCGATAACATTCACACTTTGGTATATATAAGAAAGTTCTTTCAGTCAGGGCTTGTTCACACCAAATGCAGACCAG